TGATCAATTCAGACTGCCATGTAGAGGCCCGTCTTCTATGGCGTGCAATTCATATATGCATATGGCAACACAACCATTAAAAATATTGATATTAAACACTTTCAGTATATCTGAAGCACAGGCCTGTCCTACAATATCAGTTTTCAAGAAACAGGCTGCAAGAGAGTTATATCATACTCAATAAGTATATATACAAACTGAAATTACAGGTGTCATTCATAATGTACAACACACTATTGTCATTCATCTACAGTTTGAGGTGCAATGCAATGTACTCGCTTGATATCTATGCAATGGTCAATGGTGGAACTACATAATATTACAGTAATACATTACAAGTAAAACTATAATACACTTCACTTATAAATAAAACTAAACTAATGGTATTAAAATTAACACTGGAATTTTGCCTGTGTCTAGTACATTTATGACTAGATGAATTCAACTCATTGGTCAGCTACATGACCTCACAAATAAAGGATCTTTAAGATCCATAATATTTTCATCATCAATACAGCAGCCAAACACAGTTGTGTCTCTTGGCAGTTCTGGAAATAATGAAAGGCAAATACGAGTTCCAGTCTTTCAGAATGGATGTGGCTCATATCATTCAACATAGTTTGTTTTCAACTTGTTTATCCATATGATCAGCAGCTGATGATTTTCTTACAGCTACAACTATTTCAGAGGTGCAAAAATTAGTTTTGTGTTGTATTTTCTGAGAAAAAAGTTGCTGTTGTCTGCCAATATACAAATCTATACATTTCCAAGTTCAAGCACAGAGTATAAAACATTTAATTTTTAGTGGGGCATAAAGTAAACCATGCTGCATCACAGAATATAGTGAAAAGACAAATGGAAATAGACACAATCTTCCACACTGTTTCATAATACACTATAAGAAACAAGCATTAAAAGAAGTCACATGTTACTGACTTCAAAGGAAATGTAAACATAGTAATCACAGTCATACCAAGAGCTAAATTAGGATTCATCTGCATGTACTCAAACATGCTTAACATAAAACAATATTCATTCAATTTTTTCAATACCTTCATCACCTGAATAACTATCAGTCACTCAAGGAAGATCAAAAGGTATCTTCCTGTCATATTTCTCATAAACATATGGCGTACATTACCCTGACATAAAGAGTTTAGTGAAAACCACATTGACAAAATAAAATTTAATTCGTGTTGGAACTTAAACTTATCAAAGTTTTATGTGTCATTAAATATATATACTATGAGTTACATAACCACCAGATTCATATTTCTGACATCAAATTATTCCATCAATAATGAAAATTAATATTATTATTATTACATCTACTGACAGTACAGTACTGCAAAATACAACCTGCATTATCTTACATGTAACATCACTTCTGGTGTTGACTGTAACACGACACTCTTAATCTGACCTAACGAAGATTAGGTTATGTGATATCAAACAAGATGAAAGAGTACACAAAACACGATGATTAGGTTATGTGATATCAAACAAGATACAGAATGGTGATTATGAATGATGAATCAAGTGATGGCAGAGAAACTGCGTAAATCACAAAAACACTGGTCAAGACTCAGACCATGTGTCTCCTGAGCACAGTTCAACAACTGTTCATCACTGACACAACCTGACATTTAACATGATAATAATCTTGCTAGGATATAAAGCATTGAGATCCTTCACACCAGCATATCCTTCCATGCATTACGCACAGTAATATATAAATAGCAAAACAAGGCTCAAACAATACATACACTCTCATATGTTTACCATTCCATAATCTTACACAGGTAAGATAATTATATCAAGTTCTAGTGTAGCACATTTCATTAAAATTCTCTGCATTACATAACATCTATGTTAAATCATAATTTATTATTTCTGTGTATTGGAACTCCTACCTTCATTTTGTCTGTGTGGAGATACTGATTAGAAAGTCATTCACACACCACTTCATTAAAACAGAAACAGGTAACATAAACTATGAAAAGTTCTCCATTTACTTTTCTGAAGCATGTGTTGTGGAGCAGATTTTCTTTCTTTTTTTCACAGTTCTAATGTTCTGGTATTAGAGAGGGCTTCCTATAGCGCAACACCATTTTCATGTACATACCACATTACAATACTAATGTCATATTCCAAAATATATTGTAATTTTTCATTGTAAGTTTTGAGGGTTTATTGCAAAAAGCTACAACTCCACTTCTTATAAACTTACATAAAAAAAAAAGATTAAACAATTTAGGTAAATTTGTACTTTTGAGTCAAAAACTGTATTTGCCTTATTTTTGCACCAAACATCTGGTATTATTTGTTAAAACAAAGTTGTCTGTGGTATTTATTACACACCACATCATGAAGATGTACAGAGTACTCGATAAACAAGTCAATAAGATGTGCACAGTCGAGAATAATCAGTGAAACTTCTTTAGAATGATCCTCAATGTGTTTCCAGTCTTCAAATACTGATAACTTACAGTTCCATTACTGTACATAATAATTTTACCATGTTTCGCACACTAAAATTCCTAATTTTCCCACTCAAAGCTTCTGACATGTTCTAAATAAAATTCCTTATCACTGCAAAATGGTAAAGAGAAAATGAAGCAGAAGTTGATAGTAACAAGGGAAGTGATAAAGCAAGATCGGATAAACCAGCTGCAACATCCAAATGAACACAAAGAATTGAGTATTCTAAATATACTAAGAGAATTAAGCAACTTTTATATTGGCGGCGAAAACCCACAACCGGGTTGCAGAGCCAAGAAACAACAACAACATATATTGTTTACACACCAACATTTACTTCTTGGTCCCTTGAAAATCATACCAAAGAAGCTTTACTGCAGATATTCCCTTTATAACATCCCTTTATGACACAGAAAACCAAATGAGATCAAACATGACAGCAAGTGATTGTTCAGACTGAAATGTTGGTATTCTAACCTTCCAACGTCCTAAATTCTGCCTCTCTATACACCACTGGGCTGGTAACAGCTGCCCAACCTAAATTCTGATTCATACTCAGTTACTCACGATGACTACTTCCTTGTACCATCGGCCAGTCCGATGAGCTCACTCACAGTACAAAATTCTGCTGCTATAATAGCAATGCTATTATTGTTCCAACCATGATGGGTATGAAGAATTTGGCGACTTGACCTTGATGTTAAACTGCTTCAATGTCGCTTCTAATGCTGTTTGGTTTCCAGAAAAATATGCAGACACAGCATTGTGGAACAGTAACAGTTGCTTATGCATCACCTTGATCTGTGGACAAGAGTCAAGTCTCTAAGTTTAAGCACTCTGAACTTTAAGACGTAACACAACAGGAACTGAATAATTCATTAGACAGTCTTATTAACATATATTAAATAAAATTTTCCAATCTTAGGATGGAAAATATTTAATGCCATATAAATAATAAAAATCATTCACCCTGTTCTCATCCAGGAACTTCAGTTTTATGGAAACATCAGAGCGAAGTTTCTCAAAGTTAACTTTGTGGAGGTCATAATTCTGCTGTGCCTCTTCGAGGCGTGCCGTGTTGGCATCAGTTCTTGGTGCCTGAGCCAGCAACTCTAGGTCTGTTCTGTAAGCATCGTACTCTATCCTGCAAGAAAAGAGACAGAACTGGACACAAAGTTTTTGAAAACGTTGCTCAATACTGTAACAAACATGAACTTTAGTTGGGAATGAGGGTGAAATGTAAGGCAAAAAATACTGCAAATGCAGGATAAAGCATGACAAATTCAGTATGTTTATAAAGGTCTATTATTTCGATGCAGTGATGTCCAAATCAATTTATTTGTCAAAAACACGTGATTTTGGCATGATTAATTTCTGCTTGGGATGATAAAGCAAGTATTTATCAGTCATAAAAATTCTACGTAGCAAAATCTGATCCACTTTTACATGTGCATACAATGAAGAAATGACATTAGTAATGAGCATGTCATTCACCATGCAACTGTGTTTCTAAATATTATATTGTTTGTTATATCATTAACCAAACTAATCTGTCAGTCGATTTATTATGGTTGAGAAATGAGATATCTACACTGCCCTGATTTATGCATCATTGTCGACAGATTATGTATGATAATTCCTCTTCATACTTTCCTGCATCAAAAATGTTGCATATTCTTTCTGTATTCAGACAATGGACAACATCCAAAGAAAACTCTTCCAGTCATGAACCAAAAGGCCAACTGAACAGTTGCGTACCTGGCTGTCTCATACTGACGGATGGTGAGTAGCGTATCTTCTATGGTCTTGTTACATAGAGTATTGACTGAGGAAACAAAGAAGTTGAGTGCCCCCAGAAGAGTCTCACCATTCTTGGTGAGGTTCCGCTGTGTCTCTGCATTATACAGGAACTCCTCCTGCAGTTCTGGGGACTTCTGTGCTAGATCTGAGAATGCCTCACCCAGTGCGTGCTGTCAACACAACAGTATGCAGAGATATATTAACTGCATTCTGAACGGATGATTAATAAACTTATAATTAATTTTAGAAAGTACTTGATTAACACATGAGCCTGCCTTCCTACCTGTGCACCAGCTCATCCCCAGCTATATAACACAGAGTCCACTCGCAAGGATTTCTTCAAATACTTAGCGATCATCTTTAGCATGGTTTAGTGGTGTCTGAGTGATGGCCATGCTACTTAATGTACAGAAACCAGCACTTGTAGCCAACACAATGTTCAGAAAGACAACTCTTTTAAATTACTTCTCCTTCATTCCTGATAATTTTCCCCTTTAACTTGATAATATGCTGGCTTCTACAGTGCCAATGGCTACTGACAAGGTACCAGAAATCAAGTGACTGTAACTTTCAGGTCTGTAACAGCACAAACATCAGTTCGCTGTGCTCCTACTGACCAACATAAGAGCCACAGAAAGTGGAAACTTCATCATGAAATTGCCAATTAAACATAACTAAGCAACTGGCATTATCAAACTTGAAATTAAGTACCATAAATTCTCTTTTAAGATTAATTTCTCTGACAGATTTGAGGTTCTAATGGTCATGAAGATGATTACATCTGTTTTCATGGAGGTCATTCTCACCACATATTTTTGTATGCATTCCTTGTTTCCCTGATCCCTACCTGCCTATCACAACCTCCTACATTTTACTGCCCTAACAATACTATTTAATGTGTATAAAGTCTGCGAGGTAATGCACACAACATGAAGCATGCCCCTCACCTGAGTCTGCACAACATGATAGAAGTGACTGGCCAATGCTCGGGAGAGGCGCAGAATGTTTGAGTATTTCCTCTGTGTGTCCCGCAACTGCTCTATCTGTGCTTCCAATTCTGCAACACATCACATAGCAGTAAATAAGTCTCAGTCTATTTAATGATGCTTTCACAACTACACAGGTTATGTAGCTTTGACTAAGATAATGACTGTGAATAATGAACTAGGAAAGATGTGGAAGGAAGTGTTCTAGACTTATTTTAAGGCACAATCAACTAGCATCTCATTCCATGCTGTGTCATATCAGCAGCTGATAATCATAAAATACCTGGCTGAATAAATAAAGGATGGGTCACAATCATCTGCATTATGTGCTACCTGTAAACACTGAATAGCTGCTAATGATATTTGAAGATTTTCATTACTGTTTTGAGATCACATATAACATCCAAGGTGAAAGATTCTGATTTCATTACTCACCCATTTAACCATTCCATTTACCTGTATCAACAGTCCTTGATGTCTTACCCAGTTTCTCAAACATCAGTTGTTTTGTACACTTGTATGTTGAAATACTCCAGTTTTTAATTGTTTCGATCTTAGATTGTTGTGCCTTTACAATAGTGGGGTCACCATTCTGTGTAGGGCTCAATGGCGTTGTGGCAACTGTAGATGGTGCTGAAATATAATGTATATAACAAAATTCCCAGATTTGAAAGCAATTACTGATATGCCTTTGAAACAATAAAGCTCGTTACCATAGGCAAATTTAAATTGTTTGTATTACGACCAGTACTGACAAGTAAAACTTGATATCAGCTACAAGGTAGACTGCTTTATGTTGAGCCAAATAATGACAAAGAAATCTCAAACTGAGTCATTCACAAAAACTGACACAGAACTGGAAAGTTGTTCCACATTTAATTATGACACACTTATGCCTATATTTCAAGCATTAACGATAATGTAGCACAGCTTGGTCGTTGCTAACCTGCAGTTGTGGATAATGGCAGAGAAGTGGGATGTGGTATATAACCTAGATGCTGTGGTGTTGGAGGTGCAGTTCCTGAATGGACTGCACTATTACTATCATTCATGACAGGAGTGTCCTTTAGCATTTCATGAATATTCCTTTCTACAATCGGGCTATCGTGAGCCTGGCTGGTTGATATAACAGCTTGAGACATTATTAAACAAGCAGGATATTAACTCTGCAAAAGACATTCATAAAGAAAAGTATATTAAACCCATAACAATCTAGGTACGTTTCTAATAATCTCAGTAACAACTAAAAGTTATATCATGCTAGCATGACTATCATTATAATTCCGATAATTACAGCATAAATATTACACAACAATAGCTTTGACAGCTTAACCTAACTTCCGGTTTCAAACAAGAAACAGTGTAAATAGCACATACAGACCGTAATATCATCCCACGAAAATTAAGTAACTGTACGCAAATTTATTCTCAGGCATACATACAGAATACATAACATATATACACATTAAAATTATGCGATAAACAACACCTACTAAGAAATCACCGATGACGTCATGCCACGCAAATTTGAAGTTCATGATTTGTGCTGTAGGAAGCAGCAGTCTCGAAATACTGAACAGGGTAGCCATGTCATAAGCAAAATAAATTCCTTTCGCAAAGAAAATCTCTCTAGCTGCCTCATTGATTGATCAGGATGATGAACTTAGCGATGAAATTATTTACAATTGGCACGTGTGTTGTGTTTGCCACTAAACGATTGTAAAATCACTTATGGGATCTATTCGGCCTTTGAATAATAATTTTTTATAATGGACCCTAATGCAATGGACTTCGCAACATTACGAAATGTAATTTAACATATTTTCGGTAATTATGTGCAATGTTATATGTGAGCATACAAACGATTTGAGGTTAGGTGATGTGTTTCGAATTTATTTACATTTCATATATCCTTCTTAGGCCTAAGCCAAGGAGTAGAACATGTCATAGCACAAATGGAATACTTGTTTGTAATACGAATTACGTAGTTGTGACAGTAATTTACAATCTGCTACAATATTGCTGCAGTATGCTGTTCAAACATTTTTTTTCTTTTTCAGTTTAAAGACTTTTTGCAACTCTTCAATGTCATATCCGAATCCTGTTTCCTGAGGTGTGTTAATACATTTAATAGCAGAGAATTAACAGAAGAAGAGGTATAACATTTTTAGTTCAATGTTTATTTGTATTTATGAGAGCCATTTTACTTTGAGGATTCAGAGAAAATTGTAAGAACCTTTATAAATCTAAATGCATTATTGTTCCAGGCTGTCTGTGTAACACACTGTGCAGGTAAACACATCAAGGTCAATAAAAAGGTGATGGAGATTTACATGGAGGTTCAACCACAGATCACAAAAAAGAGGATGGAAGAAATGGCTACTCTGCAGGAATCATTGGAAAAACAGAACAAGTCTTCAGAAACTACTGAACAAACTGACATCAGGAAAAGTTGATGTTCCTTTGCTTATAATATAAAACACATTTATAATTTGAACATAAATAGTATCTTACAGACAGTAGGAATTCAGTAAAGTATGACAACAAAAGTGAGGGAAACTCAGATTTGTCTTGTAGTGTTCATAGGATTGCCAGGAAGTGGCAAGACTACGCTTTGTAGATTACTTCTTGAATTTCTTAGAACTTCATGTAAATCACTGAGTGACATTTTGCACCACACCATTTCCATATGTTATGATGAACTGATACCAGCTGATAAATTCAGATACCAGGATGAGAGCAGTCAGTGGAAGCAAGCTCGCAGAGGTATTGTAAATTACGTGAAAAGTCTTGTGTTTACTTTGAAAGATATTGAAGTACTGAACATGGTGAACAGTCTTGAAGTGGCTGTTAGAGAAGAACTGTTAAAGGTAGTTCAGAATGAAAAGAAGACAAGAGTGTATATAATTGTTGATGATAATATGTATTACCGTAGTATGCGATATGAATATTACCAACTTGCAAAACTTTACAGTTTCAGCTTTTGTCAGATTTTTGTCCAATGTAGTGTCAGTGATGCCCTGAACCGTAATTCAAGTCGTGAACAGAGCACAGCTGTACCAGAAGAAATAATCACAAGAATGGCTGAAAGACTGGAACCTCCTGATAGACAAAATAATCCATGGGAGATATTTTCACTCACAGTCCCTTCTGAAAAGTGGACTGTTGCAGAGATAAAGAAGATTAGTCTCTTTCTGAATAATGCTGCTGAACACCCTGTTGTGATGCCTGAGAGAAACAATGAAATGTGCCAAGAGTCAAGAAGAATATGCTCAACAAATGTGATTCACCGAGTGGACATAATGTTACGAAAACTTGTAGGAGACAGGATGAGGGAAAGAAGTCAGACCAGTGTACAACGTGATGATCTCCAAGAACTGTCCAAAGCATTCACTGACTTAAGACATCATATCCTTGAAGGAATTAGAACGGGAACAATTATAATTCCAGAAGATACCTACGAGGCCATTAACTTAGATCAATCAAATTGTGGACACAGGCTGCAAGATTTTCTAAATGGTTTACTTACAATTAGCTAGTAGAAAAGTCATTACGTATTTAAACATTGTGTTCTTTAGTTTACAATTTCATTGTAACTAAAATTACAAAATTATGAAAAATATTATAAGTCTTATGTACACTGCAAAAATTTAAAGTAATATAGCATATGATCAGTTATGAAGTTGTACACTATTCAGTATTCTCAATCCTGTTACTTTCTCTTTATTAGATTATAACATTCTCCTCAGCACTTTGTTTTCAAGAATGTTCAATAAATTTTATTTCTGAGGTTGAGATACCAAGTTTCACATTCAGATAAATCAAGTAAAATGCAGTTTTTTTTACATATAATCTTTTAGGTGTTTGGAAAGGACACAAGAAGGTCAACCAGTCTGTATATCCTGATGAGATTTCAGGTTCTCATGGCAGCTAGTATGATGATGATAGTGTTCTGGGAAAATGCACCATGAAGTCCCATAGAAATTGACTGATGTTTCATAGGTGTTGATCATCCTGATAATGGAGGCAGAAAACAGTGTCTACCAGACTACACTGTGTACTATCCCAGAACACAATCATATTCAATATAGTATCAGTTATAAAATCTGAAGGTTGATCACTGCACCCTGCCATAAAGCAGCACAGTCAATTTTGTGTTCCATAACCTATATACATTAATCTAAAACACCTTAATACGCTTTAAACAGCCTGTAACTTAACCTGGAGTATCCATGTAAATGGCAGGGTCAGAGTAAGTAGCACAAGGAGACATGACTTCTGTTGTGCAGTTCTACAGACATTACAGCTGTCCTTGAGCAGAATTAATTGTCAGACTCCAATGTGTTAAATACCATTCCCAGTGGCAACCAGGGTTTACTGAAATATTTCAATGTACAGGAAGTTTGAGGAAACACTTACCGAAACAAAGACCCACAGAGGAAATGGCATAAGTAACATCAGATACATTTATAATGTGATCAGAAGATTATATGCCTCTTTAGATTATTCTAATGGATTAGATTAGATTAGATTACTCTCCAGTATACCCTTATGTCATCAGTGAAAAATGTCATATATACTTCTGAATTACTTGACCAGATTACATAGCACTGAGTAATGGGATGATTAGTAGAATAATAAATCAGAAAGGATATGGAAGGTGGTGGTCATGGATTCATTTAAAATAATGGAGGGACTGAGGAAAACTAAGAAAAACTTCAATCAGAATAGCCAGTCTCCAGGATGAGATAGAACCTGGGACCTCCAGGATGTGAAGCAGACATGCTAACCAATCAACCTCGACATTTGGTCTGGCATGATGTTGAGGCAAAGGGTAGCTTCTTCATTAAAAAGAATAAATTCCTGTTTTCTTATATATATATATAACTGTATAATATATAAAGATATATTTTCAAATTAATATTTACCAGTATCAAATATTTTAGTCATCTAAATATTTCAAACTGTGCATCACTGAAAACAGCAAATGTGACCTGTACATTATGTTCATGGCTCTAATTTAATATCATCTCAACACATTCAGCCCCCAGTCGGCTCAGCTCACCATTTTTAGCAGTATGGTAAGATTATGCAGTATCACATGGTATAGAAACGAATGACGATTTATTTATCGTTCAAGCAATCATAAAAGGAAGGTGCATGAACTATCTAACACTATGAGGTAAGAAGATGGCTGTCTACTAGATTGTAGCACCACGTAGTCTGGTAGTCTACCACTATGCAGCACTACAACTCAGAAAACAGCCATCTTTGTACCCACTACAGTGAAAACCTTAAATCCTACTGACATAAAGTTCTACATGTACAAAGTGCATCCTCAAAGACACGTTTTTTTGAACCAGCTCCAATGGCAATGCAGGCAATATGATGTCATTAGATATATCCACTACATCAGTCTTCAAGCTATTCACCACAGTGCACCATATCTTCATGACAATTGTAACAATGCTGTCAACTCCTGGTACTATGAAAGAAAATAAATCATTTTATAACAAGATCAAAGTGAGAAACAATTTGCTCTGTGATAAAAGATCTACCTTACATTTGCAATGTTTAAATTTCAATCTTCGATAGGAAAGAGTAGTAAAATCTATCTGAAATGGAGTCTGGATTAAAGGAAGAGATTCTGTTATGAAAAACTATCTCACATCCAAACTTAAAACCAATGTAATATGTCTAATAAATGGAGAGTGTTTAATAATGCAGAAATATTAATAGAAATCAAGAATTTAACAGAGAACAGTCTGCTAAAATAATTCTGTTGGTGGAATATATCTCAGAAGAAATAGAAATAATTAAGTTCAAGTGCATGCAAACTATGTGCAGAAACCTTTAATGAACACCTGCACAAAAAACAAATAAATGAAGATCTGATTTGACTTGCTGACAAACACCAGTTCTGAAGATGACTGTAATCAGGTATGTCACACCATGTACTCTCGCCCTGACAATGGAGGCAGTAAGTTCCTCTGGAATGTCAGTCAGTTTCTACCAGACTACATGATGCAACATCCCAGAGGACAGTTATCTTCACACCTGCCAGAACCTGAAAGCTCACAAACACCGGTTCTGAACACAGCAAGGACACATTATAAGAACTGTCTTACCTCCTGTTCTTTCTCCAGCTGCTCCGTGAGCAAGTTGTCAAGGATGTCCTGGAACCGCTGCCGTAGAGCATAGTTCTCAATATTGGCAATTTCTAGCTCCTGCTGCTGTCGTCTGTTGCGCAGGTCTGCCAACTGTTGCTGAAGAGCATCTAATCGGGATCTAATGCTGGCTACAAACAAAAGAGAAGAAAGTTCAAAACGTGCATGCTGTATCATGTACATATATTCATAAAAATCTTTTAATAGCTTATCCTAGGTAAAAAAAAAATCAAACACATAATTTGCAACGAGTTTTCCGTCTTTACATTTTTCTATACTTTGCTAAATTACAGAGTTGTCCTATGGCCCTGGACTTATGGGATAATCTACATATCATTGAAAATGCAAGAAATAGTACCCTTACTCAATGGCTTTATTGTCAGTTATCCTCTAACATTTAAAAACTTTTGCACAAAGACTGCACCCCACCTTGTGACATCTGAGGTGCACCACCATAATCAGATTCTTCTGCATTGTTCAGCTCTGCCTTCAGGATGTCGAAGTCAAATGACATGGGCTCTGCCTTTATACCTTCCTGATGGGGAAACTCGCTCGACTGCCGACTGAAATCCTGCGCGTGCCTCTCTTGCTCTTGCTTCACAAGAGCAAGAGAGGACATTCCACTTAGGTGCTTCCTTCCACTGCGCTCTGGCATGAACATCCCCCGTGGGCTAAACATCTCCCT